GATGAGAAATTGCAAGGTGTGCTTTAGGAGAACTAGAGTAAGTGATTTATGTAGGGCACAGATGGTAAGTACCTATTGGCATGTCTTAAATGTCCCCTCTGTGTCTGGACAGCCATTGCCAGTCTACCCTGACTCGCACTCATTTTGAGATTTCGCTTTTAAGGGCAACTCTTCTCATGGCCGTGGTGGGAGTACACAAAGCAGAATGGACTTGACTCCTGGAGTAGGAAATAGGAGAGGCAAGCTGAAGTTCAGCAAGGAAGGACTAGGGAATTCGAAGGATGCTAAGTAAGAATTTGGTAAGCTTTGTATTTCAGTTTATTGGCAAAAATGGTGATTCTCCTCTCTGAAACAATAGCAGTAGGTATTGATCTATGGTGCTGGTTTGTTTTTCCCACTGTGTACTGAATTATTTATTGATTTATTTTTAGTAAAATATCACCAGGAGATTTGTTATTTTCCTTCATGAAGCAATAAATTGAAAACTGTGATGAACCTATTAATCTGAACTTACTAAATAACAAAAGCAGCATCAACAAATAAGAAATTGCTGGGTATTTCTTATGAATATGTCTTACATTTAATAAATATAAGAGTTTTAAATTCTCATGACAGCCCTACAGATGGCTACCATAATGATTAGACTTTTATAGTTGTTGAAACTTAGATATAGAGCATTTAAATATGTTGCACAAGGTTAAATAGCCAGTGTGTGATGTAATCCACTGGTTTTCCACTGCTCAAGTATACAATTCCTAATAAGAATATAACAAAGGGTCCCAAAATGAGTTGATATAATTTTTGCCAGAAGCAATGAAATTTCTTTTTCATCTTGTCTATATGAAGTGGTCATGGAGAAGTAGATATGGTTTTATTGTTGCTGTTGTTGTGGTTGGAAGTTCCATAATGCTGAAATAGGTTTAAAACAATTCCCCTTTTAAAAAACTTGAGATACAAACACACACAAAAGAAAGAGAGAGAGAGAAAGAAAGAGAGAGAGAATCTCAGTTTCCCACCTGCTAGTTTATACTCCTAATGCCTGCAGTGACTGAAGGCAAGACTAGTGAATCCTGGGAACCAGAAACCTAGTCTTGTTATCCCATACTGGGGCAGGGACCCAACTCTTTGAGCCATCAACCTACTGCCTTCCCTGGTGAACAATGACAGGAAGCTGGAGTGGGCAGTGGAGCCAAGAATCTAGCCTAGATATTCTGCTATATGGAATGCGGGTGTCTGAACAGGTGTCCTTATGGCTATCCCAAAGCCAACTGCTTCCCATGTTGTTTTTGAAGCCTGTAGAGATCTGATCTCTGATTTCCCCACCCATGTTTTCAGTCCTGAGAAAATAGGGAGCACTCATGGAGGAGATTGGGAAGTTGGGATGCTACACAGCTGAGAGGAGAAGGGGTCCTTCTTTGGAATCCTGCTGCAAACTAGCTTCACCTGTGATTAGTGGCGTGAGCTTAGGGAAGTTGTTCAACATCATGATTCTTACATTGCTCTTTGGTAAACGGAGTGGCGATGAGGACTAAGTCAGTTCATGACAACTGTAAAGTAAGCACTCCACAAACACTAGGTCTTACTACATTCCTTTATGGCCATGCATTTACCTCCAAGAATGAAAGTAATACACAGCCTTGGGGCTCACTGGGCGACATGCATGATGTGGAGTGAGGTGTGGGAGATTCTCTTCTTTCCTCTCCTGTCTTAAGTAGGTGGGATTCACCATGAGGGAAGGCAATGGCAGACTCTCTTAGAACCTTTGTGAATGGCAGATGTAAAATGGACTCTTCCTCCTGCTTCCTGAGTTGCCTCCAGGACATTATGATCAGTGTTATCAGAAACTACTTGGCTCTCAGCACATGACAGCTACCTTCTTAGGAAAGAGCTGGCTATGGGGATGAATGTGCTGTCTATTTCTCCTAAACGCCTCAGTTACGAGATTCTGAGATACACAGGCCTGTGGTTTCTTTATTTTGTGGCAGAGTCAGTATTTCCTTTTGATGACCTCAGGCCTCCAAAAGTAAACATTTAAGCCTTCATGGGAGGGTGGTGGGCCCATGGGTCTGGGGGTGCGGGCTTGTGGATGGCCTGGGGATTGGATTAGGCAAGGATGTGTGGAGTCTTGGGGGCTGACACCCAGGCAGGCAGAGAAAGCTTGGGGATTTCCCCACATCTTTGGTCCCAGGTTAGGTGGTGGTGGTGGGGTTTGGGGAGGAAGAGAGAAGAGACTTAGGATAGCATTCTGGCCTGGTGCGCTGATGGACAAGGCTTGGGGAACTTTGATTGAGCCTGGGTTTTGGGTGTGTGGAGGAATAGGATCCTGGGTCAGCACACGTGCCAGGAGCTTGGGACCCTTGTGGGCAGGCAGAGCTCTGGGCCAGCACATCACTCCACTAGAAGATTGAGTTTAAGAAGGCTGGGCTGGGGAACCAAAGTGCTCCCAGGCACAGGGACTGTGGATTGATTAGGGTAAGGGGTAAGGGAATGTGTGGAAAGGAGGACCGTTGAGGGGATGAGGGGTGTGTTACAGATTAGGAGTGACCTCTGAGGGACTTTCATCGAAAAGGTCACTATATTTGCAAGTAAGTGAGGAGACTAAGACTGAGCAGTTTGAAGGGGGGAACTTGAAGACCTTTAAGGGTCAGACCGATGCACCAACCATGTGGAAGACTTGAGCTGAGCTTGATAGCATGCATCATTGCTGACCACCACTCATTAGCACACACTAAAGCTATGGCTGGAGGGTCTACCTGATAGGACTAGATCATAGTACCTTCCACAGAGAGAGAGAGAGAGTCAGAGCAGGGGATGGGTAATGTCAGGCTTGGCCATGACACTGACTACCACATGAGAGAACCAGGTCTGGGGGCAGATTCTGTGGGAGATATGTGGGTCTACTCCTATGGAACTGCAGTTTCCTCTGGTTTGCTTGAGAGCTGGGGATAGTGACACCCTGAGCTAGGCATGACCGTGGAACCATCTGACACTCATGGGTAGTGGGGTTGGGAAATAGCCAGGCTAGTCCAGGATGCAGTACCCACAGGCACACCCAAATATGGAATGTGGGGTGGACTAGGCTGCAACATCCACCAGTTCATGCAAAGGCCAGAATGGAGGGGGAAGACTACACCGGGTGGGAGCCTAGTGCCTGTTGGTACATGTGAGATCAGGGTTCAGGGGTGAGACTGGTGGGGGGACTTGGCAAACTGCCTTGGTGGCCACATATTCCACTGATGAGCCTGTGATTCAGGCTTGGGTGTTGGTCAAGCTGGGTAACTAGATCCACCCATCTGCAAGTATGTGGGTTGGTCCTGGAGTGGGATGGACTGGGCAGGGCTAGGCCAATCTTAGCCCATTGACTTGTGCAAGAGCCAGGCTAGAGTGCAGGTCATGCTGGGCTAGGCTGTCAGATATACTAGTTTGCATGAGCCATGGATGGAAGCAGGCAGGTCTGGGCTGCAGCACCTGTCAACGAGATTTGGGATTGGGGCAAGCTGTGTCAGGCCAGGCTGCAGCATCCGATGGCAAAGGCCAAGAAGAGAGATGGGCTATGCTGAGCTGGGTCAGAGCAGCCACTGCTGTGTGCAAGAGCTGTGGCTGGGAACAGGCCTGGCTGGGGAGCTGAGGGGATGCTCTGGCTGGGTTATGGTACCCTCTGATGAGTGCAAGAGCTGGAATGGGGGCAGCAATCTGGGCTGGACATGACCGCAGTGTCCCTTATCACCGATGTGGACAGGGTCTGGGGTGTGCCAGACTGGGTTAGACTCCAGCACCCACTGGTGCTTGTGAGATGCAGGTAGGTGTAGGACAGGCTGGGCTAGGTCTTGGCTCCTGCTGAGCTACACTGTGGCCCAGGTGTGGATGGGTTGTAACACCCAACAGTAAGAATTGGAATGAGCGTGGACTGGTTGTACAGGGCAGCTGCTCCTACAAGGACAGGAGGTAGACTAAGTCAACCTGGGCCAATGACATGCTGTGTACATGAGATCTACCACGAGGAGGTACCTGATAGAGGAGCTAGGCAAATTCCTTTGTCAGGACACAGTCCCTACAGGTGAGTGCAAGCACTAAGGTTAGGAGCAGCCCAGATCAGGCCAGGTTATGGTACCCACTGGCATACATCTAGTTCAGGACTGGGGGCAGGCCGGGTTGGGCCAGTTCATAACACCCACTGGCAGATATGAGAACCAGAAAAGACGCAGGATGTGCCACATCGGGCTGTAACACCGTCAGGTGAATGGGGGCTGACTGGGCTGGGCCAGGCTGCAGCACCCACCAACATGAACTGGAACCAGGTGTCGGGGCGGCAGACCAGGCTGGACCAGGCTACAGCACCTGCTGGTGAATGCTGAGTGAGGAGGAGCATGCCAGACTGGACTGCAGCACCCATCAGCACACAAGAGACCTCGGGTGTGGGAGAAAATGTGAGCCTGATAGGGACCCTAGCCAACTATGTAAACATTGTCAAGAATAAAAGTTACATTAAAAAAAAACACTTAAAAAGAAAAGATGATCTATTTCTGCATATCAGAAGAAAATTGCCTTAGTGTGTGATGAACCTCAGACTGGCTTGTTCCAATATTCCTATAGGAGACAAGCTGGAAGGGGAGCTGGGTGCTGCCACTGTGCTGGGTTGGGAGTCTTTGAGGTCTTGGATGTCAAATGCTCCTTAGCCACCTGTGGCGTACCCAGAGTAGCAGTTCAAAGAATCACCTAGGAGTTCCCCTGGAGCTGGCCAGGCATCCACTCCAGCACACATTGACTCCTAGGTCTGTCTCCCCTAGCAACTATATGACTTCAGTAATTTTAATTGCCACTGCCTTGTACCCTTGTTGGTGGTATTATTATTGCAATAGTTGTTGATGTTGGCATTCAGTGTTAGAACACTGAAGAGTATCTATGGGAACTGGGGCTGTACTTTGGAATTTCTTACTAAGTAAGCAGTTTGACTCCTGATCTCTCTCTCTTTTTCTCTCTTTTTTTTTTTTTCTCCCCAGCACTGGCTTGAACCTAACAAGTCCATCTCCAAGCAAATGAAATGTAAGTGTCAATCTATGGCTTTCCATTCTTTCTGAACTGTCTAAAGATAGATTCTATTTCCTGAGAAAGATTCTCTTGCTAGGGGAAGGAGAAACGGAGTTGGAGATAATGGGTGTTTGAGAGCTTCGCTTCTCTGCTTTCTCTCAGACCGTGGTCCCCTGCAATGACTATTCCCATTGCTTCCCATGCTTCTCTCCCTCCCCACCGTCTTTCCTTCATACTTCATGTCTGAACAGGAACACTGGAATTGGGTGGTTTAAATAGACATTGCACATGATCACCGTGTACTGGTTCCTTTTGATTGTGAGGGTCGCTGGCTAAGGGCTGTAGGTGTGAGTGTGCAGTCTTGAGGCAGATGATATAAATGTTGCTGATCACATGACTAGAGGTTGTGTTATTCTCCATGCTCCTAAGAACTAGGTAAAGAAGATTGGGGGGAAGGGTGGGGATTGTTTTCCAGGCTCTGCTGCTCTGAGCTCCTTGTTGTTGCTGGCTTGAGTCATCCACTTGGGGCACTGTGCTGTCTGGTAGTCCTGGGTGACACGATGCTTTGTCCTGGTCACTCCGTCTATAGCCAGCTGCTTTTATTTATGGTTTAGAGGAGACGCATTGAAATGCACCTCAGAAAATCGTTGCCAGCTCCCAAACTCATTTGTACTTTCTGTGACCTTCCCAGGGCTCGAGAATATGTACGATAAATCACTGGGTTTTCTCATCAGAGATCAGATTAGTGCATATTAGGCCTCTAGGAGTCATTGAGGGGATTCTCATTTTTTTCTCCAGTATGAACAAATCATTCTGGGTAGGGCTTTCAGGTGACAGAAGAAGCAATTGAACATGGATTGCAAACTAGCAACCCAGAGATCTGTTCCTTTCTCTTCCATTCCTCCCTCTGCCCCTTTCATTTCTTCCCCTTTTTCTTTTCTGAACATCCACAAGTGCAAATTCGATCTGGCCACGGTAGGGAAGATGTGTTGAAGTGAGAGTAGGTGCAGCAGCAAGTGTGTCAGGTCCAGGGGCCAAGGTGCAGGGGTAGCTGGTGTAAGGCTGCAGTGTGCATCCCAGTAGCAGTAACAAGTCAGAGACCCTGGGAGGCTCCATGCAGGGTGATATGCAGGACAAAGGGAATAAACTGACACACCTAAGACAAAAACAGTTTATGCCTTGCTTTTGTCCCTTAACTACCAAATATTGGCAGTTTTCTTAATATACAAGCATCCTTCAAAAAGTTCCTAGATAGATGCATATTATGAAGAAAAAAACTATGCACAAACTTCAGCATTTTTAATTCTATGTCCTTAAAATTTTTGGAATATCGTCATAATTAAAACTATTTAGACAATTTTCAGTAGTCAGATTTATATGAAATGACTTTCTGATATTGATTCTCAAGTAAAAGATTTTGCTTAGATCATACATGTTCTTGGGATAAATATGTCTCTTTAATAGTTATTTTCACACTTAACAGAAGATAACATTTAAAATTTATGGGAAACATAAGACTTGTGAGGAATTTGCTGCCTAAAAAGCTTTGTCTCTTGCAATCAGGCAAATCTGAACCGTAAGCTGTAAATATGGTTAAGACAAGTGCATTTTAGCTATGAGTGCCTGGAATTGATACCCAGATCTGGCACCTGACTCCTGCGAATGTAGGCTCTGTAGGACAGTGATGATGGCTCATACACTTGGGTTTCTGGATTATATGTGGGAGACCTGGACTGAGTTCCCAGATTCTGCCTTATCCTTAGCTCAGCCTCAGTTGTTCTGGGTGTTTGGAGAGTGAATCAGCAGAGGAGAGCTTGCTCTTTTACTCTATCTTCCAAATAAATAAAAACTCTAAAAAAGAAAAGGGGAAAATGGTTAATGTTCCAGAAAAGTAGCTTAAAGGTTGGCATTTGATTACTGGCCCAGTTTCAGCCTAATGATAAATGGAATCTGAATCTGGAAGCAGAGCAGCAAAAATTTCAATTTCTAAGGCAGACAGGGTGATGCACCGATGCTAGAAATTGGCAAGGTCTTCCTCATTACCCAGGCCCTATGGTGCTGTTTGAGGACACTAGTGAATCAAAGAATCATGTCATTTTGATCACAATCAGAAACCTCTTTTGGCTGTTGCTGCTGATGTCTTCATGTATCAAGAGTTTCTGTGTTCATCTAAACAGCCTCAAAATACTTATTTTACAGTAATTCATAAAATAATGAGTTGAGGCTCATGTATTGTTAACCCAGAAATCCAGTCCAACTCCTGGGACTCATCTAGGAATGTATCAAGATGTGCTGGTGGAGCTATCACAGCCTTCCTCCCTGGTGTGGGCATGCCTTTTACAACAGGATCCTGACAAAGTTCTTGGAACATGGAATTAAGGAGAGAAGTTTATTTTAGTGCACAAAGGCAAAGTCTTCCGGGTCAGAGCTGAGGATGTAGTTTCCTACCTTGAGAATCTTTGAGCACCTGTTGCTGGGGTCGTGTAAGTAGAGACCCTTTGTGTTTTGTGGATATTGTCATTCATATTTTCAAGGAACGTTTTTGAATTATCCTCATCCTCCTATTGCCTTTTAGCAGGCAATGATTGCGTAGTGACTTGAAGGAGCTGGGTCTCATGGAGCACGAAGGACACCTCTTCCTTGACCTTATAAAGATCCTTTTCACTAAGGGTGTTCCCAGAAAGGTGCTACCCAGGGTTGGCTGAAGATCTACTGTCCTGATTAACAAACCCTGCGCAAAGGTGTGTAAGTCAGAATTCTCTCCAGACAGACAGATATTTAGTATGTGAGGAGATGCAGGGGGCTTATGGGGAGGGGAGGGGAGGTTGGCTCAAACAGTAACAGAAGCTGAGAAATCCCGGGACGGGTTGTCTGCAGGTTGGAGGTCCTGGAATGCTGGCAGTGTGGCTCTGTCTGTCCTGTGAGTCCCATGGCAAGGGGAAGTCAAAGATGTGACTCACAGCTGGAGGTTGAGAGCCTGAGGGCCAGGGTTAAATCCTGGAGTCCCAGGCCCAGCGCAATAGCGTAATGGTTAAGGTCTTTGCCTTGAACGCACCGGGAATCCATATGGGCACCAGTTCTAATCCTGGCAGCTCCACTTCCCATCCAGCTCCCTGCTTGTGACCTGGGAAAGCAGTTGAGGATGGCCCAAAGCCTTGGGACCCTGCACACACGTGGGAGACCCAGACAGAAAAGCCTGGCTTCTGGCTTCAGATTGGCTCAGAACCAGCCGTTGCGGTTTCTTGAGGAATAAATCATAGGACGGAAGATCTTTTTCTCTGCCTCTCCTCCTCTCTGTACATCTGCCTTTCCAATAAAATAAATAAATCTTAAAAAAAAAAAAAATCCTGGAGTCCCAAGGCTGGGTCCAGTGGAGCCCTGATGTCCCAGGCAGGAGAGGGGCATGTCTGTCCCAGTTCTCAGAGAGCAGCTCACTTGTGTCAGTCTCTCCTGGCCTCACTCAGTCTCTCTACTGGTGGTACAGTCCAGCTCAGCCCTGCTCTGCCCTGCCCAGTCCAGCCCTGCCCTCTCCAGCCCAGCCCAGCCCTGCCCAGCCCTGCCCTGCCTAGCCTTGCCCTCCCCAGACCAGCCCTGCCCTGCCCAGCCCAGCCCAGCCCTGCCCTCTCCAGCCCAGCCCAGCCCTGCCCTCTCCAGCCCTGCCTAGCCCTGCCCTGCCCTTCCCAGCCTAGCCCTGCCCTGCCCAGCTTTTCCCACTATGGCCATGGACCTGCAGCATCCCTCATACAAACTCCACAGGCTTTGCTTCCCTAAGTCTCTATTTTCTTCCTCCAGTCAACTTGACACCTAAAATTCACCATCACAAAAGGTGTTATTATTTCTTATTGGTCAAAAAATATACATTTATAAACAGTTTATGGTTTTCACAGTTAGAAAAGGTTTTTAATGCAGATTAAAAACCATTTCTTTTCTTTTCCTCCTTACAATCCAAACCCAACTAAATAGATAAGTGCTGTTCACAGTGTTTTGTGTACTCTTTCAGAAAATTTCATGTACATATACATTACTCCAACATAAACATGGCCTGCAGTAACAGAAATATGATCATTCTTTGTGTATTTTTCTTCTCTTTTTACGTATTTGCCTTTACTTCTTTCCTTTAAGAGTGTATTATTCTATTTATTTCAAAGAGTTACAGAGAGAGGGAGAAAGACAGAGAGGGATCTCCCATCTTCTGGCTCACTCCCCAAATGGCTGCAGTGGCTCGGGGTGGGCTAGATGGAATCCAGAAGCCGCAGCTCTACCTAGGCCTCCCAGTTGCATGCAAAGGCCCAGATGGTTGGGCCATTTTCTACGGCTTTCCAAGGTGTATTAGCAGGGAGTGGGATCAGAAGTGGAGCAGCTGGGACTTGAACTGATGGCTCATATGGGGTACTAGCACCACAGATATTCCACTACACCACAACATCAGCCTCTCTTTTTCTTAATCATTAATTTGAGAAATGTTTAGATATTGGTTGTTGATCATGGCCTCATTTTAAAAAGGATTTGCTGATTGTTAATATTATGCATCTATATAACTTACTTATTAATGAAATTCAAGGTTGCTTTTAGTATTTTGCTATCTTTTTTTAACATTTATTTATTTTCATATTGGAAAGTCAGATCTACACAGAGAAGGAGAGACAAAGATCCTTGATCCGCTGGTCCACTACCCAAGTAGATGCAATGGTCAGAGCTGAGCCAATCATTTCCAATCTGAAGTCACGAGTCAGGAGCCTTCTCTGGGTCTCCCATGGAGGTGCAGAGTCCCAAGGCCTTGGGCTGTCCTTGTCTACTTTCCCAGGCCACAAGCAGGGAGCTGGAAGTGAAGCATCTGGGACATCAATTGGTGTCCATATGGGATACTGATGCATGCAAGGCAAGGACTTTAGCCACTAGGTTAAGGCACTGGGCCCAGTATTTTGCTATCTTAAGGCACACTGTGATGAACATTTTAGATTCATTCTTCCATCTTTTGAAAGAACCTGTGTCAAAATTTCTTAGAAAAGGAATCA